TCCAAAGATTGTAAGGATACGCCTTTATGTTTGTTTTGTCTGCATGTCTTTGCACCAGGATGATAGTGCAGTGAACTGTTTCTCTGAGCCAGTAATGACGGGGTCATCCAGGGAAAGCGCTTTGATTTAGCCTGTGGACACATTCTGCATCAGCTATGATGCCCTCATTATATGGTGACAGTACTCAACAGATTGAAAACCAGGTTCCTCCTAAGGGGCATATTGTAGGGAGGTCAGATTCTTAACATATCTAGACATTGTAGTGTTTGAATTTATGTTTTTGTGCCAGTATAAGAGCAAGGATGCAAGCTCAATTTGTTCATTCAGACAGTGTGATGTATAATAATAATGTCCATTTATCTTTTATATAATATAGTGATCCTGACCCAAAAACTGAGAAAGTGTCCTATGTACTGCCTACAAGAGGATCTCCATCTCACTGCTGTATGTATCCACTTATGAAAGTGGAAAATGTTTTACAGTGTAGAAGATAATATCCTTAAATGTTTTATTCATCAATTTCATTGTGCCATATGTTGGCAACAAGTGTTCAATAACTCAATGTGCCCGAGGAGCTCTGCATCCTTCTTGGGAGATTGGATAGTCATTTAGGGAATAACTATAATGAACCTCATACTTAAGGGGTTGAGGGATGATAGAGAGACGGTCTGTTTTTATTTTAACACTAAGATATTCTTGGGGAGTTTAAAGTGTCTCATTCATTGCAATTTCACCTACAAACAAGCATATTTTAACACTGTGGTTGAGACAGGTGGCAACAGTGCATGTAATGACTCTAAAATTATACTATTACACTTTTAAGATCTCAGGTAGAAACAGTATTTTGCAGCAGTTCGCTGTGTATATTTTATCTGAGCTTTCAGTAAAAGTTGAAGTCTGAAAAGAACTGGATCTATTGTGGTGAATGCTTGGGATTGCATGCAATAATGCAAGTTTAAATAGGGAAAATTAAGTACAAGAGATAAATAGCTACGGTTTTGTCTATTGTGTTTTCTGACGGACATTATCCTCTTAAAGATGATTCAAATCATCAAATATTCAGATCTTCTCTTAAATGATTACTAATTCCTGATTTCCTCATCAAGGTATACTCATTTTGGGGCGTACTGGTAGCTCACCCGATACAGCTGGTGCCCCATATATCAAGGCTTAGTCCTTGCTGTAGTAGCCATGGGTTCAAGTCCGACCTGTGGCCCTTTGCTGCATGTAATCCCCTGTCCCTTTCCTGTCTATGTATATATATTTAATTACATAAGAGAAAGGCTACTCTCCCTTAAAAAAAACACATTTTCAAATTTACATATGGTTCAGTTTGATGAAAATACACCAGCATTTACTTCCTGTGTTTACATATGCTGTTATTCCAAACTGCAGAGAGGATCTCTGACAAATGAGGCTGCCTTCAGACAAAGAAGTTCTGGATGGAAACTGAATGGTAATGAGTATATGCGAGGTATCCGTGATTATGCAACAACAAGAAATGGAGATGCCGAAAAGCCAAGATGTGGGGACTGTGTGTATGCATGGCACTTTGCTGCTGCCTGGTTTTGTTTACGTGCAATTAAATTAGCCTTGTCCCCAAGAGTGCCTGCTTGGCAGAAGGAGAGTGGTAAATGACAGATGACCCATGCGTTATTAGAACTGCTGCTTTGCTTTTCCTTTCATTTGAACATATTAAAATGTAAGATTTTTATCCAGCTTCTAATTCTGTGGTGCATATTATTTGCACTGGAAGCGGTGTCATTTTTCCTGACCAGAGTCCATATTAACATAAACACCTGTAAGCCAACCAGGATTAAACTCATCTAACATTATAAACAACTCCTGAAGCTTTAAACTGTAAAACTATTCAAGGGTCAGTCAGTAAAAAAACAGTGTGCAGTCAACAACCTCACCTCAGTTTGACCTCCTCTCCTTCACAGAGGCCTCTGTGGTCGCTGTATCATGGTAAGTGGGTGAGTTCAGCTGCAGGTCTCTGTCAAGAACAGACTAACCTGAAGCACAAATATACTGAATTCAGGGTCATTGCATTCCCGGAGGCAAATGTTAATGTGTGAATTGTGGTGTGAAAATTAGATACAAAACATAATCTTGCATAACCTATATACGAAGAGGGCCAAGAACAGTGTATATATATGTGTGTGTACAAAGTATGCTTAAATTGTTTTCTAAAGATTTTAAAATACAGGAGGGGAAATCCCTCAACATTCCATCACAATCCTTCCTTTGAATCCCAAATTTTCAATCTACTTATCCAACAGGGGAATATGACTAAGTGCACTCATTTTACATTTTGCAGTGTGCAAAATCACCATCTCTTTAGGCTCAGCAGTTCCTGTCCCAGGAGCTGTACAGACAGAAAGAATGATCCAGAGAAAGAGAGAGAGAGAGAGAGAGAGAGAGAGACAGAGAGAGAGAGAGGAGAAGTCAGCACTTCCAAAGCACGGAAAGAGACAGTAGCAGCTGTTAGCAACACAATCACACTATGCATAAGCATCTTTTATTTAATGAGTAATACCCTTGGACTCTGCAGATGAGTATAGACAAAAGGGGCTTCCTGTGTGTCTCGGGTTTTCAGGCAAATTGTCAAAATGCAATGTGCCTAAAAGAGATTAGAGGCAGAGGAGCAAATATTGAATATTCCACAACAGATGAGATGCTGTTTAGAAAAATATGCCTGTTTCACGACTATAGCAATGACAAACTCAATGCGAACATGCACACCATTGCGTTTGTTTGGGCTTGTGGATTGGGAGCTATTTGTCTAGATGATAACTAAACTATTACAGGATGTATCATATTTCTTATCTTATTCTACCTCTTGAACTTATCTACTGCGACCAGAATCATTTAAGTCAACATAAGTTGATACAGCACAATGCAAGTAGCCAGAGTAGAGCTTGTTATCATCTTATCGCTTGGAAGAGAGCCTCGGAGCAGATTAACAAAAAAACATACAGATATTATCTAGTTAGCAGTAGAGCCATTCATCAAAGTGGAACACAACCAGCCAAACTGCTTGCATGCCTTCATAATGGTGCTGTGTGTGTGTGTGTGAAACCTATGTAAACAGGGAGGGTTAAAGCATAGCTCTGGGGTTTTAAATAAATACTGGCTAGGCCTGAGAGCGGCAGTCAGCCTTAACACACACACACACAGCCATTGTTTCCACTGCTGACACAGAGAGCTAGCCAGCCACCATAGTTGATGATGAAGCAGGCAGCAAAAGCCCTCACTAACAGTGCCACAGTGCTTATACGCCATATCTGCTGTCAGCCATCTGGATTATTTGTAATATGAAGTGTTACTCACCACTTGTCATCCAGTGGCTGCACTTGTAAAAGTTAGAAATAGCTACTGGAAGCCACTTGAGCATCCGGGGAATTTGGCAATAGTTTGGTCAGGCTTGGATCCAGGCTCGGCAATAAAGTATTTTGAGTCCTATTATGGATACAAGTCACTGGGTCACAAAATAAGAAGAGGAATGATGTATTGTTAGGAATTTTGTTCCTTGTATTGTGTGTCAGTAAGATTGAACCTTTCAAATGATGCATATGAATGATTCCAGATACGGATAATATTTAACAACTGTATTATAGGACTTATGCTGGGCAGGGGATGCTAGATAGATCATCTGAACCTTACATCAGACTTATTCCATCTAGAAATAACATCCATATGAGTCACTGTGACCTCCAAGTCGGTCAGTTTGTTTGAAATAAAATGTCATCGTGCCATTTCTCTGAGGAACATAATAGCAATAATAAACCTGCTTGCAAAGTCTTTATCATGCATCAAAAGACTTAGATCAATATAAACTTGTAGGTCTACTGTATTACTGATGTTTTGGTGTATCCCTTTTGCTATTTATGCTGTTTCTTTTGAATGTTTTTTCTTATCTTGAGATCCGTATTGTGAAAGTGGTTTGGGGAAATTGGGAGAGATGTGGGTGTGTGTCGACTGTTGGCAATCGTTAAATGAGGAGTGGGGGATTTATACCCCAGTGTCCACATGCATCACATCACTTTGCCTGTATACATAATAAAGAAGTAATAAAATATTTGAAGAAAAAAATAAGCGCACACCTCTAATTGAAATGATGGGTTTTATTGATGGGCTAAGCTTTGATGAACAGATTTTCAGCCCTTCTATTCAAAATCTGTCTACAGAGGATAATTCTCTTTTAGTCTGAGCTGGGGAAAAAATCCAGGCAGATCTGTGTGTTCGTTTGTCTTAGATATCAAAACAACAACAGCTGCTGTGTTATATTATTGACTTTTAGTTGCAATTTGACTGATTTCAACCAGAACCAAAGCAGTATGAAATCATCAACAAATAGAATCACTTTAGTATGTATACCTTAAAGCCCCGGGTAACCCACAGCACCTCACATGGTTAGGATCATGAGAATAAACAGACAAAAGTTGGCAACCGCATTCCTGTCAGTGAGTCTGTCCCATGTGGCTCAGTGCAGCCGGGTTTGATTGGCATATAGTGTGTATTTGGAGAGGATGATAAGGGATTCTCAGACTCCAGGGGATAATGTGGGATTCTTTGTCTTGGGCATCAAACCAAAGCTGTGCTGCTGAGGAAAGCATCACTCCTCTCACTGCAGGCCACTGGATGCAAAGTCCTCCGAAATCTGCATGGAGGGATTATAAACTTTTAACTCTAAAACTCCTAACATCCTTTGAATGAATTGGCTGATGCATAAATCAAATCTTTCTCCCTTTTGCTTGCTATGGCCAAACAGATAATAGATGCACCCTTGATGTTTCAATTCCAAATACTTTCATCCAAATCTGTTTGATTTGACCAGTGTTATTTGGACTTACATAACTATTGTAGGTGCGTGAGCAGGTGGATGAAAAAGCGAAATGATGAGCTGCACTTTGGAAAGCCCTGAGCTGCACATAAGCAGCCAGCAGCGATAACCTGAAGGTGTGTGTGCGTGTGTGTGTGTGTGTGCGGTTGCCCACAGTGGTGTGCTGCAGTCCGCTTCCCCGCCGCTGTTAGTAGAGTAAACTACATGGACATTAGCGGGCGCAGCGGCACAACCACCGAGCCAGAGTGGATTAAAACAGCGTGCGTGTGCGGAGAGCCACTCGACAGACGACCCGTAACCAGCTGAGAAACCCCGGTGTGTAAACAGCAAGTCTGTTCCACCAGTGTGCAGCCCTACAGCTCAGGAAAAAGGGGGCTCTCGGTGAACTCAGTAGTGCCCGTGCATTGTGTGTCAGGCAGGCAGGGAGAGCTCGGCGGGAATGGCTTCATCTCCGTGCGGCAACAGTAACTTCGATTCCGGTCTGGAAATCAAAACTCGCTCGGTGGAGCAGACACTTATTCCTTTGGTATCGCAGGTGAGTACGCTACAAAACGTCAAACAAGTTGTTGTGTTGTTATTCCTGAACATGTTGTAAAAAAAAACCTCACTTTGGCTTCACAACAGCCGTATTCGGACACATGGGGCTAACTTTAACTCTCATGTTTACCTGTTTGTACACGAGACTGCGTGTTTCCCTCTCGTGCTGTGTTTAACGCCTGTCCAGCGCGTGAGGAATCTGTTATAAGTTGTTATATTGTAACTACTTAAGTTGTCGTCGGTAATGGTTAATAATTCATTACAGCCCGCAAGCTACTAAGTGGACTTGTTCCAAGTTGCGCACAGCAAAGGTTACCAACTAACTTTACCGTAACATGTAAGTCAAAAAAAGGAGAAGCATAGATTTAGTTGTTGTTAGGCAGACGTTAGAAGGCTACAGAATTACATAACCGGCTACACTGAACTCCAAATGGGGAAATAATAATGGGAGCAATTAAACCAATGGCCAGCCATCCAGAAAAGGATTAAATGACTGATTCATTAATTAATTCCTCGTTTTGCTGGAGATCACCAGAAACTTTCCTCACACTCAAGTTGTGTGCTCCTTCTTTCCTGCACTCACTCCCACTTCTTCTAATTGGCCCACTTTGAGGCACGTGTTTTGTTTTTCAATAAACAGAGGAAGATGAAAGACCCCCACTTAAGGCCAACAACTCCTCTCCTTCACTGCCCAAACAGCAGTCCCAGCTTTAAGAGCATGCAGTTTAGGCCAGTGAGTTAATTCATGATTGTATTGTAAAGTGCAGCAAACTCCAAGGCTGTGTTGTCACGATTCTTTTAAAAACAATAATAATGCCATTCTAAGTGGTTGATATCCATTTGAGTTACAATGGCAGATGATTCATCTTATAGAGCTTCTGCTTTTAACACGATTGTTTTCCACTGTGGTTTCCAGCATGGCACTTAGGTTGGGAAGTGGGTTGCGTCTCCTGAACAGGGGGATGAGCACCAGTCTTATAATATGCTAACGTCCCCTCATTGTGCAGGAGGCTAAAGGGCCAGAGACCTTTTAAAGTTCTGTTGTTTCCACTGAGAAACCGTGTAAGAGAAAGGCACCTCACTGGTGGGTTAACGGGGACACTGTCCTTCCCCCCCGTGGCTCACATTAAAGCCTGCTTCCTCCCGCTCACTAGCTCATTTGAAAGATATAAGGTCACCCTGTACTGAAGGGACATGGGGTTAGTTATCAGAAAAGGACATCTGTTAGGGGACGTGCTTTCTGTGTAGGCTGTTCATTTTATGGTCATATTGGTTTTCGCTCCTTCGTAAGTGTACACCAAAAAGAACGTTTAGGAGGAAATGAGGGTTAAATCCAGGTAGGGTTATACCCACAGTTACCATAAGAATACTTTTAGTAAGCACTGCTGTAATATTGTGCAAAAAGCATACAATAAACCTGCTGTACTCTGCGTTATCTTAATAATATTTACGCTGCAGCAAACTTATGGTGCACTCCTGCCCGCTGAGAAAGACTGGCTGAGCTCCAGTCTATAACATAGAAGAATGTGCTGTATACTGAAGTCCACGGTTGAATAGTGGGCCTCAAGGACAATCTTTCCTAACTTTCTTTCTTTTTTTTTTGTTGCTCTGTGTGAGGCATGTCCCCATAGCAACAGAGCTCTGCAATGCTGAAAGAATCAACATTTCCAAGGACTATTATCTCCATATGTTGTGTTTTGTTGTTGTTGTTGTTGTTATTAGGATGTCATCAGAAGGACGGTCACTCAGCCTGTGCTGACTGGTACATTAGTTTCACCTGCTGTGAGCACTTTTCTTTCAGTGTCCGCTGCCTGGGAGTCCGCTCAGTTAACTGCTAATATGCACAAACCGTGTTTCTAGAGCTGAAACCATTTGTTTTGCACTTACGATAATCGATGAATCATTTAAATCATACAATGTTGAGAAAGAAATCCAAATAATTTGTGGTTCCAGCGTCTCAGACAAAACATCGCCATGAGCTCTGGGAAATTGTAAATTATTATTATTATTATTTTTCTGATTTTCTGTAGGCCAAACAATTAATCGCAGTAAAGTGCAGATCACTCGGTAGTCCAAAAAATTGTAAGTTCCCTCAGTAACATGCATGCATTTTACATGATAGTAATGTACATGGGTTGTATGATCGTTGGGTTAATGTCCAGAAGTAGGTGTGGTAGCCGAGAAAAATGAAGGGACTTTGCTGCTATTTATTGTTTTTTGCATTTACAGAATACAACTAAAGTCTGCTCACTCGCTGTCTTAGGGTGTTTAAGGCATACGCACATAATCCAAACGCCAAAAATAATCTGTCTACCTTGTGTATATTCCAGTAGTCATTTGAAAAGACGGACGTTTAACCCAGCTGTTGTACTCCGATTACGTCTTAATGTGAATAAGATAACTCAGTTAAAGGGTTTATGTGATGGTTCTGAGAATCTGTATTGCCCATGGCTCATAATTGAATTATTATAGTCAAAAGCACTGACTGTGTGGGCTGTGTTGCGCAGCCTTTCCTCTAATGGAGCTTTGTGTATGTGTGTGTATGTATGTGTTTGTAGGGGTCATTAGATAACTGTCAAGGAGGAAATGAAAAAGCAGTGTCAGTGAGAAAAGCTGGTGTATGATAAGGTAGCATGTTGTGCACTAGCCCCTTCTTTTATTATGTATCTTCTCTCCTCCCTTCTCCTCTTCTTGCTGTGACGTTGATATCCTCAGGCCTCTGTTATCAGCTTCACTCCCACCAGGGTGTAATTATAGGCCTGGGAGTCTCCCAGCCTTGCAGTACGTACACACACACACACACACACACACACACACCATACACATGCATGCAGTCCCACCCACGTCTTCGCTTTTCATGCTTGTATGTTCACCTGTTTTACGGAGTCCTTGTGTTTGCACTACTCGAAGACTTTTTTGCAATTAGAATGTGTCTGAGTGCTGTTTTCGTAAGGCGGCCACCTGGATGTTTTCTAGCTGCACCCCCCCCACACACACACACCAGCCCTCCATCATTTTGACCGTTCACTTCACCCTTTTCAAAACAGAAGTGACTCTTACTTGAGTTAACAGAACGATTCTGCTCAGCTAGGAATTCACTAATGTGCTTTTCTTCACCTTTTCTGCTACAGCCATCTCCGTACCATTGTGAAGGGGCATAGTGAGGGTAATGAATTGCTCTGGTGGTGGTCAAAAATGTAATGGGCATCGCACAGAGAGAAGGGAAACTAAGTGAATGTGTCGGCCGTGGTGAGTGTCCCACGTGTGATGTGCTCCGTAGCCCAGCTGGAAGGCAATTAACGATAATCTGGGCTGCTTTTTCCTTGAGATCCGACTCCTGTTTTGAAGTGGTGATTAGTGAAATAACAGTTCTGTTCCTGGGTTTTTTTTTTTATAATTGTGCTGTTTTCCTAGTAAAAACACACCAGCCCTGTCTGGGTGCGGACATGGTGGTCCTCAGGCTGACGAGGTGTAAGGGTGTTGTTTGGAGGTAAAGATGTGTGGGAACGTATGTGGACCGGGGAGTAATATCTGAGACTTTGATCAGATTGGTGAACATTTAAACACTTGTGACACTCTGGCCTTGTGATTACATAGCTATGCCCGCTCCATAATTTTCCTGCGGGGCTTAGTCAGGAGTTTCTTAAAAGATTTTCTACTATAATTGGGCCTCGAAAATCCGTTCTCTGTCCAAGTTTGTTAGCGTCGACTTTGTCATGCTTCCAGGGGTTCTGTGGTGCTTGCAGTTTTGCCTTCTGATGTAAAAAAAAAAAAGCTATTCCATGTTCATTTTGCACAAACTGGTTTGGAATGGTGTATTTATTACTGAAGCAGAAGCTCAGTGGCAGGCTTGAGGAAGTGATTTTTGTCACATAAATTCCACGTTAAATAAAACGCTCACAAAAAAGTACTCCATAAACATACTCCTCACTTAACAGCTCTATAACTACGGCCATCAGTCAAATTTTCAGCCCTCTTTCTGGAAATATTGGAAATGGAGTTTTATTGAGGTATGAGGCACTATTTTCCTCTTAACGGCCCTGGTCCTGTGGTGGGGTGACATGACAAACGCCCAGGGAGTGAAGTTGTTTTTCATACGCAGACAGAGAGGCAATACTGTTGCCACGAGCCCTAACAGATCTGCTTCCTCCAGCCGTATGATAATAATGAAGACAAATGGGTCCCTGGCATGAAGGTGAAACCACATGAGGATTACAGTGTGCCCACAAGCATGCATGCGTGTGCATACACACTAACAGACCAAAATATACTTCCTGGGTATGAGACAAAATAAGCTTTTATTGTGCGTATTTGTGTGTATTGTGGAATAATGGTGGGGGATTCCAGTGTGGTTTGTGTGTCTTTGTATCGGCATACTTTGGTATGCGTGATTGTTTGCTCATGGACGACAGAAACTAAGCGAATCGGTGGTGCTGGTGTTTGAGGTTGACATCGCCACGTGCCTTCGTGTTGCCACCATGACCTGTCACCTCAGTATCAGCCTTCAACCCTTCGAGGCCATAACCAAAACAGCAATGTGTGTGATAACACATTTTCAAGGCGGGTCAGACCGGCACCATGAGGCAACCATTTTTTCCTGTTGTGCCATCATCAGTGGAAGATTGTATGCCAATGTATACACACACACACACGCACTCATTCATTTGCCTATACAGTCTCCTTGAGTTGAGACTGGCAGAGCATGTGGTTTCGAGTTTTGTTTCAACTGATTCCCCCTGGTTCCAACCTCAAATCTGCGAATCACAGCGAGCCTGACAAGCATTATTGTTGCGTAAATGAGGATCTGAGGCAAGTTCTTGCTCAGTGGTAGGTAGTATACACAGGCAGTCAACAACTCTGTGTCATCAAATTGAATAGAGATGTAATTCCACTTTCAATTCCAATTCAACTCCCCCTGCTTTCTATTAAAGTGGTTGCATTAGTCAGCCAACTTTGTCAGTTTGGATAATTCAGATTCTCTCTCCTGATTATTACACA